ACGACCAGAATGATGAGAATGACCGGTCAACCAGTCACTATGATGTGCACTGACCACCAGGGGGCAGACACTCAACAGAGGAGCTGCTCCCTGGTGGTCAGTGTGCTCCCACAACCAACCTCCCATGGCACCTCCCCCATCCAGGCCAGCCAACCTCCCACAGCCTCTCCCACGGCCAGCCAGCCCCCCAGTAGGCCTCGATCACCAGCCAGGCCAAGGGACCCCACCCATGCATGAATTCATGCACTAGGCCTCTAGTTAAAGTATAAAAGTGACTAAAAAGCGTTTTTTATTGAATTTATTGGGGTCACATGGTTAATGAAACTATATAGGTTGCAAGTGTACAACTCCATAAAACATCATCTGCATACTGCATCGTGCACTCTCCACCCAAAGTCAAGTTTCTTTCCACCACTATTTATCCCCCTTTTGCCTTCTTCCACCTCTCCCCACCCCCTTTAGCCCCTGGCAAGCATCATATTGTTGTCTGTATCCTTTGTTTGGGTTTTTTTTGTTTGTTTTGTTTTGCTTAATCCCTTAACCTTTTCCACCCAGCTCCCCAACCCCTCTCACCTCTGACAGCTGTCAGTTTGTTCTCATTTTCTATGAGTCTCTTTCTATTTTGTTTGTTAGTTTATTTTGTTCATTAGATTCCACATATGAATGCACTCAATATGGCATTTGTCTTTTTCTGACAAGTTTATTTCATTTAGGACAGTACTCTCCAGGTCCATTCATGCTGTCACAAAAAGTAAGATTTCCTTCTTTTGTATGGCAGACTAGTATTCTATTGTGAAAATATACCACAGCTTTTTGTTGTTGTTGTTAATCCTCACCCGAAGATATTTTCCATTGATTTTTAGAGAGAATGGAAGGGAGAGGGGGAGACAGAGAGTGAGAAGCATTGATGTGAGAGAGATATGTCAATTGGTTGCCTCCCACATATGCCTGGACCAGGGCTAGGGGATTGAACCTGCAACCATTTAGACTGAAGGCTGACATTCTATCCACTGAGCCAAACCAGTTAGGAGCCTACCACAGCTTTTTTATCCCCTCACCTGTTGATGGGTACTGGGTCTGCTTATGTGTTGTTGTTATTTTTATTTGTTTTATTTCATTTTTCTAAAGGTGTGCTTATGATTTTAAGAAATAGTATTACTTGCGTAAAATTAAATAAAGCGTCAGACAAAACAGTTAATATTCCAAAACCTATGGGACACAATGAAAGCAGTCCTGAGAGGGAAGTTTATAGCTCTACAGGCTTATCTCAAAAAAACAAGAAAATATGGTAGTAAATCATCTAACTTTACAACTCAAAGATTTAGAAAGAGAGCAACAAGACAACCCCATTGTGAGCAGAAGGAAGGAGATAATAAAGATTAGAGCAGAAATAAATGACATAGAGACCAAAAAAACAATACAGAAAATCAATGAAACCAAGAGCTGGTTCTTTGAAAGGATAAACAAGATTGACAAACCTCTAGCCAGACTCACCAAGAAGCAAAGAGAGAGGACCCAAATAAACAAAATCAGAAACGATAGAGGCGAAATAACAACAGACCCCACAGAAATACAAATGATTGTTAAAAAATACTTTGGACAGCTCTGCTCCAACAAACTAGACAACCTGGAGGAAATGGATAAATTCCTAGAAAAATACAACATTCCAGAACTCAATCAGGAAGAATCTAAAAATCTCAACAGGCCAATAACTATGGAAGAAATTGAAGCAGTCATCAAAAAGCTTCCAGCAAACAAAAGCCCAGGACCAGACGGCTTCACAGGGGAGTTTTACCAAACATTTAAGGAAGAACTAAAACCTATCCTCCTCAGACTATAAGCAGTTCTTTGCTTATCTATCAAACTCTTTCCTAGAAATATATTTATCAAATAAAGCAACAGTTTAGTGAAATTATTATTGGGTATATTAGTGAGTAGATCAAGTAGAATAGTTATTACTGAAAGGGATCTAGAACTGAATGAGGAATTAGAGATAGCAAAGGCCATTTAAAGAAGGGGAGGGGGAAAAAACCCTATATATTTCAATGCCTCCTAAAAGCAGAATTATATTAGAATACAATGTAAAAGTAAAAAAGAATACAATGTCAGACAATTACATTAACTACCATGGGTAAGTGGAAGCATGTCTCTTGTTTTTTGGGGTTTCTTTTTTGTTTGTTTGTTTTTTTAAATATATTTTATTGATTTTTTTCAGAGAGGAAGGGAGAGGGATAGAGAGTTAGAAACATCGATGAGAGAGAAACATCAATCAGCTGCCTCCTGCACACTCCCCACTGGGTATGTGCCCGCAACTAAGGTACGTGCCCTTGACCGGAATCGAACCTGGGACCTTTCAGTCCGCAGGCAGACGCTGTATCCACTGAGCCAAACCAGCCAGGGCAGTCTCTTGTTTTATTTGCTCCTCAGTCTCCTGAAGTAGCAATACTAATTACTCAAGCTACAAGGACATCACTGAGCCTCAGGGTAAAAACTATAATACACTTCATCTTGCCTATCTATCTCCCCTTGGCCCTGTGCTTGAAGGATTGAGAGAATTCTTCTGTAAAAAGGACTAGGCTTAGAGCATGAAACAATTTTGATCAAGGCCTCTGGGAGAATTCTGACCTGTGTTCTCCAAAAATCTTACTTGACATCCAAGAGATGTTTTGGATATGGACAGACCTAGATTAAATTACAGCCACCCAGAAAACCAAGGCATAGTAATGTATCAAAATAATTTTGAATCCCTCTTTTTATTTTAAATAAGAGAGCATTATTTCTAATATGAGAGGCCTGGTGCACGAATTCATGCACCAGTCTGGTCCCTTGGCCTGGCCTGCAGGATCGGGCTGAAACCTCCTCTCTGACATCCCCTGAGGGGTCCCGGACTGCGAGAGGGTGCAAGCCAGGCCAAGGGACCCCACTGGTGCCCAATCAGGGCTGGGGAGGGGCATGGGAGGTTGGCCAACCGGGGAGGGACTGCAGGAGGGCTCCAGAGCATGTCCAGCCCATCTCGCTCAGTCCTGATCAGCCAGACCCCAGCAGCAAGCTAACCTACCCGTCAGAGCATCTGCCCCCTGGTGGCCAGTGCATGTCATGGTGAGTGGTTGAGCAGCCTTAGCATATCATTAGCATATTATGCTTTGATTGGTTGAACAGCCGACCAGACACTTAACATATTAGGCTTTTATTATATAGGATATCTCGGCAGGCAAGGGGGACAAAAGAACGAATAAACAAATGGGACTACATTAAACTAAAAAAGTATTTACACAGCAAAAAAAAAAAAAAATCAAGAAAATGAAAAGGCAATTTACTAATCCAGAGAAGGTATTTGCCAATGATGCATCTGGTAAGGGGTTAATACCCAAAACTTATAAATAGCTCATACAACTTAATAAAAAAAGCAAACAATACAAAAAAAAAAAGGGCAGAGGACCTGAATACACATTTCTCCAAAGATCACATACAGATGGCTAATAGACATATGAAAAGATGCTCAAAATCACTAACCATCAGAGAAATGCAATTAAAACCACTATGAGATACCACCTCACACCTGTCAGAATAGCTGTCATCACTAATCAACAAACAAGTGTTGGTGAGAATGGGAGGAAAGGGACCCCTGGTTCACTGTTGGTGGGAAGGCAAATTGGTGCAGCCACCATGGAGAACAGTATGGAGATTCCTCAAAAATTAAAAATAGAACTACTTTATGCCCAGCTAGTGTTGCTCAGTGGTTGAGCATTGACCTATGAACCAGGAGGTCATGGTTCAATTCCTGGTCAGGGCACATGCTCAGGTTGTGGGTTCAGTCCCCAATGTGGGGCCTGCGGGAAGTGGCCAATCAGTGATTCTCTCTCATCATTGATGTTTCTATCTCTCTATTCCTCTCCCTTTCTCTCTGAAATCTATAAAAATATATTTTAAAAAATAGAACTACCTTATAGCCTAGCAATTCTACTTCTGGGAATTTATTCAAAGAAATCCGAAACACTAATTCCAAAAGATATATGCACCCCTATGTGCATTGCAGATTTATTTACAATAGCCAAGATATTGAAGCAACCCAAGTGCCCATCAACAGATGATTAGATGAAAAAGAGGTGGTACATATATCCAGTGGAATATTACACAGTCATAAAATATTGAAATCTTGCAAGTTGTGACAACATGGATGAACCTTGAGCATGTTATGCTAAGTAAAATAAGTCAGACAGAGAAAGACAAATACCATATAATTTAATTTATATTTGTAATTTCTTAGAGGGAAGGAGGGATGGCCGAAAGAGATTAACCAAAGAACTTAGATGCATATATGCATTGCTCTTGGACACAGACAATAGGGTGGTGAAGGCCTGGGATGGGCTGGGAACTGGGTGGAAAAGGCAAATCAGATTCTTAACTGCTTGCTATGCTCTTCCCTTTCTGAGCAAGGGTATGAGAATTTGTCTCTAAATACTTACAAGTCAGGAGAGAACTTTGAGCCATCCTCCCAGAGCCATGGTCCTTCAGCCTGAGGGCGAGAGAGCCCTATCCAAAATGACCTAGCAGGTTGGGAAGACACTTGCTTCACTATAAATTCCTGTAGGGAAACATAAATACAAATACACGTCAAGAAGAGAGAGATAAATAGAGATGATAGAGATAGAAAGACAGAGAAGAGCCGGGGAGCTGCTCTTATAGACACCGTGAATCACCTTGGTGAAGGATGGATGTGTACACTGGCATCAACCTCGAGAGAAGTGCCAATTCTTGAATGCCACTGAGTGTCTCCAAAGGCATATTTCATTCTTTCAGAGTCATTTTATTTAATTTTCCACCAAAAGAACTGTTTAGATTCATAGTGTAGAATGTTCCCCTGATTACTAACCCTTCTTATAGGCCATCTAAGTGCTAACCTTCATTCATGAGGAATTGTAAGTTCCACCTTTTCTGTAAAAGTTTTTGTGTCCACAGGGATCTCTCTCTGAATTCCTATCACATTTGTTGCCAATACCAAATGTTTAACTTTTTAAAAAATCCTCACCAAGGATAGTTTTTATTGATTTTAGAGAAGAAGAAGAGAGAGAAACATTGATCAGTTGCCTCCCATGTGCACCATTACCAGGGGGCAAACTTGCAACCTAGCTATGTACCCTGACAAGGAATTGAGCTCGCAACCTTTCTGATGTACAGGAGGATGCTCCAAACAACTGAGACGCCCAGTCAGGGCCCAAGTGTTTAACTTTTAACAGCTGTTGTTTCTTTTTTCTTACAAATTACATGAGCATTGCAGTATCAAGTTTACTTTTTTCACCTCTTTGCCTTTTCCAGTATCTTTTAAGGAATAAGTGATGTATAAATGTATATTTTTATTGCAGCTATTTTTCTTAATAATTATGATGACAAGGGGGATAGTGTTCTATCTCCAAATTTGAAAATTAAAATCCAAATCCACAAAAATTAGTAGTTGCTTGATTATTATAATCATGCAAACTTGCAGTGTATTCAGAAGGATTTGTTTTAAAATACAATGTGCTTATTTTTAAATTAATTAAATTGAAAAGCATAAATTATAAACATTACCCACTTAATGCATGCTCTTACTATAATTATGAAGAATAATAAATATCACTTTTTCCAAAGGAAGATTATCATTACCTGAAATCTATCTCTATTTTTCTGCTCCATATAGACTACAGATAACTATGACTCAAATCTACACTTACCAGTTCTTTTGAACTATCCATCTTCAGGAGATAAGAGTCCAGTTGAGAGCACTGTCTTTTACTTCCATTCCAGGAATTCAATGGTGTGCCAAATAGGTAACAGCTATTCTCGTGTGCAATCCAGTTAGGGGGACAAGAGCTGGAAAGAACCCCTGGAAATAGAAAATAAATATGATGACCATGGTGCAAGCACCATCCATCCTGAGGACACAATAATAATTAATGAATCACCATTAAAATATTTCCATTTCAATTCAAACTATAAGAATATGACTTTACAAAATAGGCCATATTAAAATGCCCCCATTCATTTAAAAATGAATTAATTATAAAAAGTGTTTTAGACAACCTTCCTTTCTCTCTTGTCCATAATTCCTTCAAATCCAGCCTGGAACTCCCTTTCTTCATACCTCTTAAGATAAATCAACTCAAAATAAATCATTGAAGTATATGGTAATTTCACGTTAACTTTTTTACAGGTATGACATCCATTTCAGAAGGCAATTTCCCAAATGAAAAAAGTATAAGAACAATTATTCACATTACAGAGTATTGATGTTTCATAATATTAGCTACTTTATATAAATCATAAGGAAGGATGGGTACAGAGATGGAAAACTGAAGTAAAAGTGTTGTCATATTCAATTATGATACAATTAGAAGATCAAGTATATATAAAATTGTAGTGAAATTGTGTGGTAAAAATTAATTTAACTAGAGTTTTCAGGACTATATCTATTAGGTCTATCTCTTCTATATGTGTGTCATTTAGCCTCTTAATTCTCACCAACCTGTTTCCTTCTTTCCTTTATCTCTCCCTTTTTTCCTTTCTGATGTCTGATTTTTTATTCTTACTATATCACTATAAAATTTCAGTTCCCCAAAGGCAAATAATATGTTTTAAATTATAAAATCTGCTGTAGGCCTAAAAACATAGACAGGGATAAATTAGTTACTGATTTGGAAAAAAAAAAATCCAACTTAGAACTGCTCAGCCAAGTACATGGATATTTATGATAGAACTTCATTGTATATAGGACAGGGGCATTATAGACTGGAATAATTCTAATGTGTGCTTTCTTTGAATGCACAGGCACTGCATATAAAGGTTTTCTCTTTCCCCCCACCCTTCCAGGCCATAACACCAATAATTAACCTTCCTAAACCAAGAATTCCATTACTCATTTAACTTTGCCCTTGCCTGTGGTTGTGAGAGCCTTGGGAGAATCCACACTCTCTTCTAAAGATGATTGTGTGGGTTTTCTTGATGGAAAATTGTCATTCTTCAATGAGTTGCTTCCTGAATTGGATCTCCAAATACCTTCATATACCAACAATAGTGACAAAAGGATTATTCTACTATGTTTGAAAATTTAAACTCCAAAATCCATATTTTTGTTGTAATATAAAGACTAATTCAAAAGAATATATGCATCCCATGTTCACTGCAGTCTTATCTACAATAGCCAAAATATAGAAACAACCCGAGCAAGCAGGCAAAAAAGTTGTGAGATATACTAGTGTGTGTGTGTGTGTGTGTGTGTGTGTGTGTGTGTGTGTAGAAGCTGCATGACAGAAAGGTCATGGGTTACCTTGTTTTCTTTTCAAACCACTTACGGTATATATGGAATCTAAAGAACACAATACATGAACAAGTAAAATAGAAACAGATTTTTAGATATAGAGAGCAGACTGATGATGGCCAGAGAAATACTTTTTTTTTTAATCCTCACCCAAGGATATGGTTTTTTGTTGTTGTTTTACTGATTTTAGAAAAAAAGTAATGAAGAGGGAGAGGGAGAAGGAGAGGGAGAGGGAGGGAAGGAAAGAGGGAGGGAGGGAGAGAGGGAGAGAGAGAGAGAGAGAGAGAGAGAGAG